ACACTTATTAACGCTAATGCAATGCTTCTCGGGATTGGTCATAGCACAGATAACCTCTTGGTTGGTTATTATTGTAGAGCACCCCGCTAATATATAGTGGGTTGACACGTTTTAGAGAAGTCGGCGAATAATAAGGTATATTATATGTATAATGTAAAATTGAATCACTTTCTATTCTTGTGATGGCATGCAGTTTGTCGAATTTGTTTACATATATACTCCGAATTGATGTATACAAACTGTATGTTAGACTCGGTTTCGAGCGAGATTTTGGTTGTTACACCCACAGAAACACACACTCCCTCACTCATATTGGATTGTTCATCCACGAACAGGTAACATGAAATGGGATTAGGCCGTCATGAGACAGGCTATTTTCACGCTACTGATATGAAATCATAAGATCATGACAACGATCCTTGTATCATATTAATTGAACAGTTTTATTATTATAATACGTTTACAGTAGCCAATACACGTGAACGAATTTATCAGGTTGGTACAAAACGGTTATTCTAGAGTTAAAGTAAACATACACAAAGAAAGGTACGAACACAATTCGTAACAACATAGGAAGTTGGGGATTAAAACATTGCTGTTATTTCATGCATCTGTATGTCACTATACAAATAATAGAGGAATGCAGTGGCTTGACTGAAATGTGAAAATTAAAAACGCGGTTGCAAGTTATTCTTTAAAATAACACATATGTACTTGTGTATATAAAACAGACATTGATTGATGTCAGACTGTCAGCCTTAGTCAGTAATTCAACATTTCATAATAGAATATTATATAAAACTTTAACTGATGTAATTCGGGTACAAAATATGACCATTAAATGTGTTGTAATTAAAGTCGTTGCCATAGATAGCGAAATTATCTGAGGGTCCCAGAAGTAACCACACTTGATCACCTATATCAAGCGACAACATCGTGCTCTGGGTTTGCATCACTTTGCGATCACTGGCGTCTGTTGTCATGGCAACCACTGCGTCGTCGTTTTTCATCAGCGCGACTCCGATATGCATTTTGTCATAGCTTCTCATGGTATACGAGAAGTAGTAGATACCAGGAATCGTGCAAACAAACATGCCGCTGGACCGGTCAAAGTTCTTTCCTTTGTTCGCTTGGTTCTTCTGGAATGCGATAGCCTGTGCGCCACCGTCTGTTCCCATCAATGGCTCAGTACGGATGGAAGAGAAAGCCACTTTTTTTTTCGCTGAAATATAATAAAATAATAGGAGTTGGTTTTGTACATGTCACTTCTTAATATGGTATGTGAATAGAAAGCAGAGCCGGCGGTCACATCATCATTTTACTTTTATACTATAGTGTAAGCATGGAGGTAAAATGTTTTTTAGTTCGAATTATGTAAGTGAATAAGACCGGGCGGTTGTGTGACGGTGGTGACGGTACATGTACTTGGTGGTTTAAAAGGGCGGTGGTCGTCGTGCCGCGCATGTGCGATATTTATGTTGATAAACACTATTTTCCCCACAATCCAATGCGCTCTTTCGATCTAGACGCACTAATTACCGCCAATGACTCCTTGGATACCTTCTAATCACCAAAAAAAGTATCTAATTAAAGCTTAGTAACGTCTCAGTTTAGACTCGTTGGTCTTCACAACTGTCAAAGTAACCATCTTTGTTTATATGAGACCCATAACTCGCGCATGCGTGGCGCGACGACCAACGCCTTTAATAATTGTTATTCGCAGCTGTGGTTTATATTTTGGCGATTGAACGTTAGTGGTTTACATACCTGATCTTAATACATCAACAAGCACATTTTCCAACTCCATAACAGCTTCCTCTTCGGTCACTGCCCTTTTAGCTATATGTCTAGCCGGGAATGGGAACCCTGCACCTGGGCGTGGCTTTTGAGGTCTTGGTCGGCCGTCGACGGATGCCGCTAGAGTTGTCCGAATCATGCTGTTCTCTTCCGCGGATTCGGATGTAGTTGAATCATCTCCTATAGGACGAAACAGTCCTTCGTTCCTACCATTCTCCATGGTTCTGCTGGCGATCATCTCAGCAAGGGTATGACTAAATTCCCTAAGGACATTATTGTCCAAATTTACGGCACGATTCTCTTGTAATGAACCGGCGTTATTTCTATTTCTTTCGGCCATTTCTTTGTTAATGTCAGCTCTCATGTTACTTATCTGTTCCCTGTCTAAATTAACGACCCAGTCATCGTCCGGTGGTCCTCGTTCTGTGTTCTCGTCAACGCCCTCATTGCTACCGCCTACACAGGAACACCCCTCACTCAGTCTTTTTCCCAAATCACCAATATTTCTTTCAGCTTCACGAAGTTTGCTTTTTAGTCTTGAAAGTTCATGTATAGTGTCATCAAGGTCAATAATCTGAGATTCTTGGTATTGAATTCTCTTTTCTAACTCCACGTTCATAATAAGAGAATCCTCAAGGCGCTGTTCCATCTCATTAAATCGTCCAGTGAAAACCTCAAGATTCGTGACCAGTTCGTCGTGTGTAATTTTAACGTCTCGAGTTGGAACTTGTTCTGTTGGCTCTCTGCGCAAGAGGCGGGGGTCGATGGCCTGTGTGGTGGTTACTACAGCTATAGCGAATAAGATGTGATTGCACAGCATGTTGATTCCCACGATTATCTGCAACTCGGTAAACAAAACACACCATGTGAGTGATTAGCTAAGTTATGAAATTAAATTAGAATATTTCGTAAAACTATGGTAATCTTTTAGATTTGTTTTGATTGTTTCGTGTATTAAGTATTGATGGTCCGCAATTTCAGTGTTGAAATAATTTGTTCATTGTCTTTTTAGTCACGCGGGAGTGTTTGTGGATGCATTGTTAACTAACTACATATGGTATATCAGGGGCGGATCCAGCAAAATGTATTGGGGGGTCCAGGCCTATAGGTCGAAGACACGGGACCGTGCGATTCGGACAATGCTATGCGTAATCCAGATGCATTTTCATGCGGGGG